GACTGACATTAATGACCTTTCCAATTTATATCCTTGATAACATATTCCAGAAGACTTGCGCACAGTTTCGTTTATATAACATCTTATTGTGACTGTTCAATGGAAGCTTAGGTTTTATTGTGAACTGACCTACTTACTACTCCGGAAGTTATAAGTCATCATTATTCCTGGTGATCCTAGATAACAATTCACCGTCAAATTCAGATTCTTGATAGACTAATAAATTCATTAGCTTCAATCGATCTAGTAAATGACTCTACAGCTTCAAGATAATGAATCTGTGTAGAACTAGAAAGTAGCAAAATTAGTAGAAATTATTAGAATTTGCAGAATGTACGTTGTAGAGCCATGCTGCAGGTATATCGTGATTGTAGCATGAAATGGTCGGCTCGACCAGGAAAGGACCTCGCTCTCACAAAACCTCAGCGTAAAATACCAGCTTTATGCTGTTGTATTTTGTAAAGTAAGTATAAAGAACAAGAAATCCTGGAAACGAGGCATTCCGTCATATAGTGATCTTTAAGTTACTGGTTCGTTGCCACCTCTGAGGACTTAATGATCACTATCTATAACAATGAATAAAACCGTTTCTAGTTTCAATTCAACGAATTATTTAGTTGGGTTTTATTAGCATTTTACAAATAAACTTATTTTTTTAAAAGGAAAGAATAAAAGATTTAATTTAATTTTATATAAAGGTTCGAAACGGTATTGGCGCGACTACTAACGCCATCTATCGACGCACCGGGACACCACACTTTTATCTAAGAATCAGAGCTCGTCATTGTTGGCGACCAATCACAACACGTCGTTAAATTAGTTATAAGATCTGTTTTAAATTTTTATCACTACCTGATACACACTGTTAGAAATAAGACGATTTAAATATAACCAGCAAAAGTTCAATAAATCAATCATTGAAGAGCATCTGCCTCCCGTTCCTGTACATACACTGGTCTCATCGAGCCGAATAAGGAGTTCTAGCTTGAAATCTCCAACGATTCGTCGCATCAAAATATGAAGAGGAGATTCACGTATCGAGCAAAGAGCTGCAACGTTACGGCATCGACAGACGGAAGTGGCAGGTCTGAACTTCCCGTCCGTTTCCTCATCTCATCCTTCGATAGGTGTTGATTTCGTGCTGATATTCCATTTCCAGTGCTCAAGTGGCGGCACCTACCTGCGCAACGGCACCCACCTTGGTTCGCACGCATCTACAAATTGGCAACTGTAAGTACTCTTGATTTCCTTAATTCCCAAAATGAGTGAGCCTAAATTGTCAGATTTAATTAAGAAAAGAGGAGTTTTAAAAGGTCCATTAACTCTGTTTGAAAATCATGTTAAAAAGTTCACTTTACCCTTGACTGATCAACAGTCATTAGAATTAAATTTACGTGTCGAGAGTACTTCGAGTTTGATAGAGATGTATAGTGAAATACAGTCCAAAATTGAAGTAGAAGTAGCGGAAGATCTTGATCTTGTAAAATAGCTGGAAGAGAGAGATCGTTTCGAAGATCAATTTTATCGTACTGTAGCTTCTGGAAAACTTTTATTGAAAAAGGAAGTATCTGACAAGTCTAGTGTTACAACATGTAAGCCGATAGGCATAAAGTTACCCGATATTAAAATACCTTCCTTTGGCGGTTCATACGATTGCTGGCTAGAGTTTAAAAATTCTTACGTTAGTATGATTCATGATCGCGATGATTTAGGTCCTGTTCAAAAATATCATTATTTAAAATCGTCATTGTCCGGTACCGCGGCACACGTCGTAGGTGCATTAGAATTTAAGGCTAATAACTATTCTCAGGCATGGGAGCTTTTAGAGAATAGATTTAATAATCCGCGACTATTGGTTCATAATCATGTGAAGGCATTATTTAAAATTCCATCGTTAAATAAAGAGACCGCTTCCCAGATTAGGAACTTAATAGATATTGTTTTGAGAAATTTGCGTGCCCTTAAAATGTTAGGTGAACCAAGAGATTAATGGGACACTTTAATCATTTACATGGTTGTTTCCAAATTAGATCAGGCCACTGAATGCGAATGGGAAGATTTTCAAGGTACAGCTAGTTCGTTAGTTGAATCAAGGTCAGCTTTGAAACTGGATGACTTACTTAAATTTCTCAAGGACAGGGCCGACGTTTTAGAAATGATAAAAGTGAACCATAACAAATCCCACAAGAACAAAGGCGGCGAACAAACGCGCTCTAAGAAGCAATATACACATACTCATGTTGCTACGAACGTTACTAACAATTACAATAAGAATAATTCGTCTGTCCAAAAAAGGAATAAAATAGTTAAAATGCATCAGCTGTGCATCAATTGTTTACGCGCAACCCACCCACTTGACGAATGCAAGTTTGGGCCATGTATGTTGTGTGATAAAAGGCACAACAGTTTGCTTCACATTGACGGGCAGGTAGACGGCGCATCACAGGTGAGCGGGTCGAGTGCATCACACACAGTACAGCCGGTCACCACTAACGTCTCCACTGTCTCGTCATCATTACATTATGGCTAACCATTCAGAATCGCAAAACAGTAATCAGAAATATTCGTTATTACCCAACGTTTTGCTGTCCACAGCGTTAGTGCACATAGCAGGTGATAATAACAAATATCACACTGTACGCATTCTACTTGATAATGGTAGTCAACATTGTTTCACAAAGAAATCGTTATGTGAAACATTAAATGCACCATTAATACAGTCCACTTATCACGTTGCTGGGGCAGGTCAAACAATTTCGCAGTCCACCCACATTTATAAAATAAAATTACGTTCAAAGTTAAATTCGTTTTGTATGAAAATTTATTGTTTAGTGTTGTGTTGCCGTGCATTACAAATCAATTACCCACATTTAGTGTCGATGTAAATAATATGAGTTTACCAGATAATATTCAACTTGCGGATCCGAACTTTCACTCACCGTCAGGCATCGATATACTGATAGGCGCGGGTAAGTTCTGGGAATTATTTTGTGATGGCAAAATTAAGTTGAATAAAGGACCTTATTTACAAAATACAAAATTGGGTTGGATAATGTCGGGACCTTTACATAACAACACACTTCCCGTTAAGAGTGTGCAATGTAATTTCTCCCAAACAATTAACACACAGTTGAAATTGTTTTGGGAACTTGAAGAGATAAACAATGACGTTAATAAAAACATCCTTAGTGCTGACGAACGTGCGTGCGAAGACATTTTTTTCAAAACGACAAAACGTATGGGAGATTGTAGGTTTTCTGTACGCATTCCTTTAAAGGAATCAGCTGATGTGCTCGGAGACAGTTACACAGCGGCTAAAAAACGTTTGTTGTCATTAGAACGAAAATTCGCTCGTTTGCCACAATTTAGGGAAAAATACGTAGATTTTATGGGAGAATATGAAAGGCTCGGTCATATGAGTTACGTTGAAACTTATGAGTCACCCCACTATTTTTGCAGCATCACGGAATTATTAATGAAAATAGCAGTACGACTAAACTGCGCACTGTTTTAGATGCAAGCGCAGCGACGTCGTCCAGTAAGTCGTTAAACGATACTCAACATATTGGTCCACCACTTCAGAACGACATTTTTAGCATTTTATTACGCTTTAGGCAATATAAATACGTGGGTTGTGCGGACGTTGAGAAAATGTTTCGGAATTTTCTTGTACAACCAAATCAATGTATTATGGCGTAAACTTCCGTCGGACTCAATATGTGTATATCGCCTAAACACCGTGACGTATGGCACCGCATCCGCGCCACACCTTAGTATGAGATGTTTACGTCAGCTTGCGCTGGAATATAAGGATCAGCAGGTTGCGAGAGTAATCCTAGAGGATTTTTTCGTTGATGACGTCATCCTAGGTGACAATGATTTAAATAGCTTACTCGATACCTGTGAGAAGTTACGAAATACTTTAAACTCGGCTTGTTTACCGTTGCGTAAGTGGTTGTTTAAGGTTGATATCAGTGATCACGACATATCTAAAGAATTGTCATTAGGCGAACATTGCCAAACTAATACTTTAGGAGTGGGTTAGTATAATAAAGGTGATGAACTTCATTTTACCACACGAGTAGTTAGACCGAATTTACTAAATAAACGTACAATGTTGTCGATAATCGCACAAATATACGATCTTCTAGGAATTTTAACACCGGCTGTCGTAGTAGCTAAAATATTGATGTAAAAAGTGTGGTTGTGCAAGATAAATTGGGATCATCCAGTTCCCAGTGATGTTGCGTTATCCTGGGAAAAATTTATTGACACACTTCAATATTTGCATAACATACGTATTCCGCATCATGTTATGAGTGCACACACACAGTTTATAGAATTACACGTATTCACGGATGCGTCGCAGAGTGCATACGGTGCATGCGCATATGTTCGCACCTACTCTGATGACTCATCGGTGACTATTAGATTATTGTGTGCAAAGAATAAAATTGCACCAATTAAACTAGTCAGCATACCCCGACTAGAAGTGTGCGGGGCTTTAATAGGCACACGATTATATAGGAAAATTATCGAGTCATTGCGTGTTAACCCTCAAACCCTACTCGGGGTGCTGGAGCACCCCACAAGGTTTATTTTTCTTATTTATTTCGTTGATTGATAATGCACGTGTTTGACTTTCTGCGTATTTTACTTTGAGGTTACGCGCCACTGATTGGCCAGTGTCGCGGCGATAGCCGGCTGTTGTAGACGTGTGCACGTGTGCCGTTGGGGGCTGTAGCACCCCAGTGTAGGAACAACGTAAGTTTTTAAAAATTTTATAAAACTAATTTTTTAAGCCTACATCTATAGTTGAACTATTTTATTATAAACGTATAGATTGCGGTTCAAACATTTGATTATAGAGGTTATGTTGTAAAATAAAACATAACCTATACAATTCAATTTTACTTAATTTTTCCTTTAAAATTCAAAAATATGTATTGCACAACAGTATATTTTTCAATGTTTTTAGTGTTTTAGGTTATGGTTTGCAGATGGCTGTGGAAGGTGGACTGAATGATGAAAAAATACGTCTCATAGTAAATCAGGAATCAAGTGACGAGGAAGACCTAATTTTTCGTGTTTCAGTTACAGAAGATTCTGATGATGAACCTGATGGTGTTTTAGAAGATTTTCGTGATATGAATGTGATTAGTCAAACAAATAATGAAGAGGATGCCTTTAGTAGCGATGATGATATGACTTTGCAAGAGCTATCTCAGGATTTAAGAAGACAAGGAAAACTAAAGGTATTGAATGTTCCAAGAGTTCTTTACGGGACAGGAAAAAAAATAGACACAAGTGGAGTGGAAAAAAGCCAATAAGTCGTAGAACTCAGCAGCAGCGCAACATTATTGTGCATTTATCTGGCAACAAAGGTGAAGCGAAAAGTATTACAAAGCCAATAGAAGGTTGGGCTCTCTTTCTAAATGACGAAATACTAAATAAAATTGCATATCATACAAATAAAGAAATTGAAAAACAACGTAAAAATTAAAAAGGATTTCAGGATGAAGAAAATGGTGAAGAGAATATCGCCTCGTCCAGTTTACCATCATTTATAAAACCAGTATCATTGGTGAGTTAAAGGCTTTAATTGGGCTTTATTATCTCGCAGGAGTGTTTAAAATGAACGCCATAAATACCAAAGAGTTGTTTGACAAATTTACTGGCGTGATGCTTTTCAGAGCCACAATGTCCCGTTGTCGATTCAAGTACTTGACAAATTGCCTTAGATTACAGAGACACACGCGAAGAACGTCGAGCTACCGATCGCTTAGCTCCGATTCGTGAAGTGTTTGTTCATATTGTAAAAAAGTGTGACAAATACTACACACCAACTGATTGTTGTATTATCGACGAACAATTATTAGCTTTTAGAGGGCGCTGTATCTTTACAATGTACATACCCTCAAAGCCCGATAAGTACGGGATAAAAATTTTGATGAACTGCGATTCTAAGACAGCTTACATCTCGAATGTCATTGTTTACGTAGTCAAACACCCTCCTCTCAAAATATGTCAGTGCCTGAGTACTACGTTATGGAACTCTCCAAGCCATTGTATGGATCCCGTCGCAACATAACCATGGTCAACTTGTTCACCAGCATACCATTAGCCAAAAATCTGATTGGAGAGGAATTGACCATGGTCGGAACGATGCGAAAAAACAAAGGAGAAATACCAGAGTCCTTTTTGGAGTTAACAAACAGAGAAAAAAATACCGCTATGTTTGCGTATGATGGACCTCTAACTCTGTTGTCTTATTGCTCACCGAAATCGTCCACTACCATCTCGAGACGGCGAGGCCGGCTCTGCTCTTTCTGACCGAGACGCAGGTGTTCTCTCCGGCTGATGTCTCGTACCCGGGGTACAAACTGGAACACTCCTTTGTGCCTCGGGCTGGAGTTTGCGTTTACGTCAGAGAGGACATCTGCTCTCGACGCCTCGGCAGACTTGAAGGTTCGGACCTGTCCATCCTTTGGCTACGCGTAGACAGCGACGACCATCCGCGCGTCTACGGGTGCCTCTACAGGTCCCATAGCGGTAATGCCGAAACAGACCGACTATTCGACCACGTCCAAATGGCTGCAGATTCGTTGCTACAGCAGATCCCCTCCGCAGAGATCGTGATCCTCGGCGACTTTAACGACCATCACGCCGAATGGCTTGGTTCACGTTTAACCGATCATGCGGGGAGATCTGTTCATGATTTTGCCTTGGCATATGGTCTGACACAATTGGTTACTTCGCCTACGCGGATTCCAGATGTGGAGGATCATGCACCTTCCCTGTTGGACCTTCTGCTGACCTGTCACCCGGACGGATATCAGATATCCGTCGACGCCTCGACGTGTTCTCACGCTGAAATCGCGGTTGCATTCTGCAGGCTGCCGCCGTGTTTGGCACTATAGGTCAGCCGATTGGGATGGGATGCGGTCTTTCTTTGCATCCTACCCTTGGGGGGCGGGTTTGCTTCTCGCCGGATGATCCCAACGTTGTTGCGGATTCTGTCGCTGATGTGGTACTTCAGGGTATGGAACTTTTTATTCCTTCCTCTGTGGTGCCCATTGGAGGCAAGACTCAGCCATGGTTTGGTCGCTCCTGTAAAATAGCATCATGCTATAAGCAGGAGTGTTACCAAGCCTGGGCTGATGCATCAGCGTCCCGGGATGTTAACACCAGCGCTCTAAAAAAGAAGTATAATTCCGCCTCTAGGTCCTTCAAAAGAGTCATTGCCAAGGCAAAAGTCAGAGCACATAGGCAGAATTGGCGAGAAACTAGTTCACCTTCCTTCTGGAACCCGTGCATTCTGGTCTCTCGCCAAGGCTGTCCAGGGAATTTCTGTCAGCCATCTCTTCCATCTCTGCACAGGGAGGACGACTCACTGGCCCATACCGCAAAGGAGAAAGCCGATCTTCTAGGCTCTTTCTTTGCATCTAACTCGACTCTCGATGACGGGGGGAGTACTCCGCCGACCATCCCGCGGTGTGAGTGCTCCATGCCGGAAGTGCACTTCACACAGCGCTCGGTTCGCAAAGCACTCCTCTCCCTGGACATCCACAAGTCGAGTGGGCCTGACGGAATCCCCCCCAATTGTGCTGAGGACGTGTGCTCCAGAGTTGGCACCGGTTTTAACGCGTCTTTTCCGGTACTCCTACTCCCTAGGCGTAGTCCCAAAATCATGGAAGACGGCTTACGTCCACCCGATCCCTAAAAAAGGAGACCGCTCTGACCCGTCCAACTACCGGCCAATCGCCATCACCTCCTTGTTCTCCAAAACAATGGAGTCCATTGTAAACTGCCAGCTCATGAGGTACCTTGAAGATCACCAGCTGATTAGTGACCGCCAATACGGTTTTCGCCGTGGTAGGTCAGCTGGTGATCTTCTGGTCTACCTAACTCACAGATGGGCGGAGGCAGTAGAGTTCAAGGGGGAGGCATTGGCCGTTAGTTTGGACATTGCGAAGGCCTTCGATCGGGTTTGGCACAAAGCGCTTCTTTCGAAGCTCCCCTTCCTACGGGCTTCCCGAGAAATTGTGCGATTGGATCACCAGCTTTCTTGCAGATCGGAGCATCAAAGTCGTTGTAGACGGTGCAAGCTCCGATTGCAAGCCTATTAATGCTGGTGTTCCACAGGGCTGCATGCTATCGCCAACGCTGTTTCTTCTGCATATCAATGACATGTTGCATACCCGTAACATTAATTGCTATGCAGATGACAGCACTGGTGATGCTCTTTACACCGGCCGAGCCAATATTTCTCGAGAAAACGTCTCCGAGTGCCGGGACAAACTTGTGTCTGAAGTCGAGTCTCTGCTGGACAGAATCTCGGATTGGGGGCGACTAAATCTAGTCCAGTTTAACCCCCAGAAGACACAAGTGTGCGCGTTAACCGCTAAAAAGAACCCCTTCGTCGTATCCCCTCAGTTTCAAGGCACTCCCCCTTGTTGCCTCAGCCAGTATCGGAATCCTCGGCGTCGACATATCGAGTGACGTGCAGTTTCGTGGTCACTTGGAAGGGAAGGCCAAATTGGCCTCTAAAAAGCTTGGCGTGCTCAGCAGAGCGGGACAGTATTTCATGCCGGCACACCGCCTGCAACTTTATAAGGCGCAGGTTCGGCCGCACATGGAATACTGTTCCCATCTCTGGGCTGGGGCTCCCCAGTACCAGCTTCTTCCACTTGACCGCATCCAGCGCAGAGCGGCTCGAATCGTCGACGACCGAGTGCTTTCCGATCGGCTCGATTCACTGGCGCTGCGAAGAGATGTTGCATCTCTTTGCGTATTTTATCGCATCTATCACGGGGAGTGCTCTGAGGAATTGTTCGAATTAATCCCAGCCGCCAAATTTCGTGAACGCACTACACGTCAAACGTCCCGATACCATCCACACCATCTGGATGCTTGGCGGTCCACCACTGTACGTTTGACAAGGAGTTTTCTTCCACGTACAACCTCTCTGTGGAATAGTTTACCACCGGCGATTTTTCCGGACCGATACGACCTGGGGACCTTCAAGAAAAGAGCTTACTCCTTTCTAAAGGGCCGGCAACGCACCCGCAATTCTCCTGGTATTGCGGTTGATCATGGGCGGCGGTAGTCACTTAACATCAGGTGAGCCGCATGCTCGTTTGCCCCTTCTTCTATAAAAAAAAAAAAAAATCGACAAGGAAAAAAGTCATCATCATGTTGTCAACTCTCCACGATTCCCCAGATGACAAAAATGAAGTTGAACTTCCAGAAATTAATCATTTTTATAATAAAACAAAGGGAGGAATGGATGTGTTCGATGCAATGGCTAAAAAAAAAGACGTGTGGCACTCGGGGACTGCCGCGGTAAAGCTATTGCATAGCATTTTGTATCAACTTATGCAATTATAATTATTAATATAAGGACTACGTAAATATTCAGTACAGCAAGATTGGAAGAAAAATGACGTCTAAATATTTTTTCGTATTTAGTAAACGAATAACTAGTTGGTAAATTAATCATGATATATATCTTTTTTTTTCGCCAGAGACTAAAATGATATTGCTTTTTTTCGTAACTGCAGATTCTGTGCATTTATTTCATTATTTTGAACAATATACGAAATTTTAGTGACTAAAATTAAATCTAATCTGAACCAAAATCATAAAAACTGTATTATTAGTGCTAAACGAATCTAATAAATATCTGTTATTTTTGTCTCCTGCGAAAAAAACAGACTATAGGAATCTATCGAATACCTACATTAACAAAATATCACCTATAAATAAAATATTACAAAGCGGAATAACTAATAAGAGTGGCAACGTCGCACTATACAAATGAATTGCGTAGGTGGCACAAGTCGCGGGCTCGAACTCATTGGTGGGCGCGGCCAAAAAGAACGTTGTCTCACCTGGCATCGTGCCACTCGTACTAAATTATTAGGCGCTGCGTTATCGTTTTATACTATACCTCTATGGCTCTATAGATACCTAATATGGATTGCTTATTTTATTATCTTTAGTTTTCCCCGGGTGGTCATGCAGCGATCACTCAAGAGTTCACGACGCCGAAGTATGAACTGGAACAGTCATCGCAGTTTATATCCGTACTAGCTGTTGCCAGCGGCTTCAAACGCGTGAACTCGAAAATTATCCCACAGGAACGAAATACCTGAACGGTATCAAATGTGTTATTCCAGACTAGGTATAACCTATCTCTGAGCTAAATATCATCCAGATCCCTTCAGCTGTTCTGGCGTGATTGAGTAACATACATCTATCCATCCAAACTTTTGCATTTATAATATTTAGATAATAATTGTAATTAGTTCTGCCTACCTATAAATTG